AACCTTGGATGTTTGAAAATTATAAATTATAAGAATATTAGATAAATTAAACTAAAATTATGGGTAACGTATTACCTTTTCTCCTCTAATTGGAAAAAAAGTTAGATTTTACAAAATTATAAATTAAATAAATATTAGAAAATTAAATTAATTTTATTTTGTAAAATATCTTTCTTCCTCCAATTAAAAAAACATTGGATTTTTTAAAATTAGAAATTACATTAATATTACAAAGATATTAAATAAATTAATTAAAATAATCTTATAGAAATTAAATTTAAACTATTGGGTAAAATATACACCCTTATTCCTATAGTTTTAGTTTAATGTATTTTATTATTCAAATTTGAAACTAAACTTTCATTTATTTTTTTGACCATTTATTAAATTTTGCATGCAATTTTCTTATTCCTTGATGCATATATTTTTGACACATGACATCCAATATAATATAATTAGATAGAAGGGAAAAATCCTTAATTAACGTAATTTAATTATAGTAGAATGATAAAGTTCATAAATTTTTTTTGCCCAAAATAAGCAATGCATTTGAATTATTTGACGTCCATATTGGCAGCTTCTGATATGTATGATCATGGTTCATATATATATATATATACACAGCTTTTTCTGAACATGATTAGAGCATCGTCTAATTTTGGGATTGTTGATCAAAACTGCTCCAACAAGGTCAATTGATGCCTTGCCCGATGTTAATAGCCATACCATTTCTGTCCAAGGCTATTTGCATAGGCATCAATGACAGTGATAGGTCTTGAAAACGTAATTTTATCCCATTGCTATTTCGGTGTCATTTTTCCTTACAGTAAAACAAATTTAGTTTCGTATTCTTTATTGCCAATCTGAAAAAACACCTCGTACGAGATTGTCTTATAGATGTATAATATACTTATAAGGTAATTGAGATCTAATATAGGAATAATGACATTATATATACATAGCATTCATAGTTGATATTGTTTTAATTTGAAAGCACATTAATTTTAGGTCTAAAACTAATTAATGTCTTGTTAACGTTTGCTTTTTTCGCGCAAACAACATAATATATTATTCTAAATCGATCAGTTAATGAGAAAAGAAAAACTGACCCAAGAATATCCAAATTAAAATAAATTTCAATAACTCTCTTGACATTATATAATAATATACATACCACTAAAAATTTGAAGATTTAATAGAAACCTTCTTTTATTATTATTATTTTTTTAAAAAAATATTACAAACATCTTCCGTAATCGACTTATTATTATTTCTGCACTACACCATTTCCTTATTCAACCTAATATTCTTGGTTGAGTCTCGAAAAACCATAATTAGGCCTGCCTGCCTGCAGCTAAATCAATAATTAAAAGGCTTCATGATGGTGTCAGGATCCTCTTTAAAATGGACGTTAATGAGAAAAGATTGTGGTCTCCTCATAACCCCCATGTGAATGCAACCTTCCAACTTATCCACTATTATCCAAATATTACCCCAAAAAAATAAATATAAGATCAAATTTATTAATTGCTTAACTATGAAGTTCAAATTTGTTAAAAAAATATCGAGGTTGATTGTTCACCTTTATGAGCTGTGTTGAGTGGAATTGTTAGTAAAACTAGCTTGCTAGCCTGTCTTTCCTAATTCTTTTTATTTTCATATTTTATGTTTGTTTTATTTGCCGCGTTTTTCTAATGCATTACTAGTAGTAGGTAGATGAAGCTTCCATTAAGAATGATATATCTTAAATAGAATTGTTCCTAATTAATTAATTCTTTAAAAGATCGAATAAACCATATTGCTCTAATAAAAAAAATCAATTATTTACCAATATATATATGTCTGTACACTTTGTACATAACAGAACAATATATTTGCGTTAGCAAAACATGTCATTAACATGAATTTATGAAGGTATTGGTGGATAAATACCTAATTACCTATTGAATTTTTTTTGACAATGATTGTCCCTTTTTAATTTATTATTAATTAATAACTATTGGAACTGGAAATTATCTATATATTTAAATTTTCAAAAACTCTATTATTTAATTTTAATCATCATATCGCACCAATGTTTCATTCTCTGTATTAATAAACAAATTAATTAAAACTTAAAATTATTAATCTGATATGAGAGTTTTTTGAACAATATGATCATATTAATTGGAGTTCATGAATGAGTATATGATTTATCAGGCAACCAATTAGAATCAAATCTTTAATTTGGATTTTGTTAGACGGACATGCAATTAATTAGGCTGCCCTTCTTAATTGTGACAAAAAACAAAAAACAAAAAACTAGAAAACCTCTCGTTGACTATGCATGGTCGTGTAAACGATGATGTATTGTGATTTCCGAGGAGTAGGAACCGCTTAATTCGATCTGCTTGATTGAATGAATTATCTATCTTTGAAAGTAATAATAATAATAAAAACAAAGACTTAAATATGTCTTCAAGGCTTTGCCTTCAAGCAATGCTCTAAATTAAATATGACCTCCCTTGCAAACACAATTTTTTTTGGACCACTTAGTCAGCTATAGTACAATTTATTATCAACTATATTACAGTCATGAATTAAATTTTCGCAAAATCTATCAATGTTCTGACTTACTGTATAACAAAGATTTTCAGAAATTTTGAAACATCAACATCGCGAGTTCATATATATATATATATATATATATATATATATATAATATGGAGAAACCTCAAATATATCCCCAAACAATTAGAGTAGTATCATTTTTGCTCCCAAACTATTTTGATTACCCAATTTTAGATTTTTTTTTAAATTATTAAAAAAAATGTTAAAGTTCTTACCGATTGATGTCGTTTAACAATAAAAGAGTATAAAATTTAGATGGAAATATAGATAACTGATATTATTATTATTAGTAGTATTTAAAATATGTAACAAATGCGAGTTCAAGGCTTTGCCTTCGCTTGCTTTAGGAGTTGTTTTGTTATATCATTTTGTTTTTGTTTTATTTATTTATTTTAATTTGTTTTTTAAATTTTGTTTGGTTGATTATTTTTTTCCTCAAAAAGTGTATTTAGTTTCAATCGGGCACTTGAGTTATTAAAATTGACTCTTGGACTTTTTGGAGTTTAAACTTTAGTCCACCGGATCCAATCATGGTCCCGACTCCACACTCGATCCCGTTTAAATCTCTAGGTGTTTCGAACTTGGTCCTTGTCCAAACCCAAGTTCCATAAACTTAATTTTTACCCGAATCCCGTGCACCTCGAACTTGATCTCTGTCTCGCAACCTAGCATTGATCCCGAAACCACAACACTAGTCCCATCTCAAACTCGACACAAATCCTAGTTCGAAACTCGAAAGGCCAAAAATTAGTCTTGGCCCAAACCTCAACATTGGTCCTAGGCTAAACCATAAATGTCCCGAAACCGATTTTGACCTAAACCTCGAGCATTTCAAATGTGATCCAAGCTTAAACCCCAAACAAGCCGGTACCAATTTGAACCCTAGCATCGATCCTAGCCGAACCTTTATCACCCTAGACTCGATTCTAGTCCGAATCGAGATGCCTTAGATCCGTTCTTAACCTAAACCTTAAGCGCTCGAGACTCGACCCGAACCCCAAGCTATCCAAATTTAATGTCGGTCCAAACCTTCGAGCCGGTCTTGACCCGAACCCTAAGCACCCCAAACTAGATCCATCCCATTCGAACCTCGAATGATTTAGACTTGATTCAAGCTTGGACCTAAAACAATCCAGATACAATCTTGACTAGAACCTCGGATGCCTAGGACTAAACCTCAAACCGGTCGAATTGATTCCTACCCAAATTTCTAACACCCCGGATCCCGTCATGGCTCAAACCCTAAACGCCTTAAACCCGGTCTTGGCTTCAACCCAAGATGCCTTAGACCTCGTCCCGACTCAAACCCATACATGATGCTTCAAACTCGATTTTGGTGAAACCCAAGATGCCTAAAACTCGAGTCCTATCTTGAACTCTAGAAGCTCCAAATTCGATCCCAATCTAAACCTTGGCAATAATCATCTTCCAACTTCGAACTCAATTTGACTTCAAAACATATGCTAGAAGCTCCGAATTCGATCCCAATCTAAACCTTGGCAGTAATCATCTTCCAACTTTTGAACTCAATCCGACTTCAAAACATATGCTAGAAGCATAAAAAACTTGTTTTGAAAACTTTGGCACCATTTATTTATGTTTTTCAAAAATTTTCAAAACTTGGTGCCAATTTTAGTTCTTCAGAGATAAATAAACGAAACAAAAAAGTTTTCTTAAGTTGTTTTAAAAAATTTAAAAAAAAAAGAAAAAGAAAATTAAGTACACCATACCAAACAGCCCCTTAGAAGATAGATGAAAAATCCTTAATCTAGATTTTCTAAGAGTTTGAGGGTAAAATTGAGGCTATCCATATTGTTGGATGCATTTTTGAGATTTACCCATGAAAGTTGGATATCCTCTCTTCTTTGATTTGAGCGAGAAAATCGACAAAGGAAAAGATTCTGATAAATGCTTGGATTTTCTTACTTTGAAGACATCCTCTGTGTGATTTTCTTTGTCGGACAAACAAAATTTTCTGAGAGAACTACGTTAAGTCGTATAGAGACTCTCTCTTTCCCACACTTAATATTTATATATTTATCACTCTTTCTCTCCGTGGTAAAAGATCTTTTGAAGCTTAAAACATGGATGGAGTTTCCTTGGTTTCACTTCTACATTAACGATTAGATAGCCGCTTTCAACTCCACCTCTTTCGAGACGATTGCTTACCATATATCTCGGTTTTTGAATTGATTTCTTGTTACTTGTTTTAGATTTGTAGATCTTGAATTGTGGGGATTCTTGTTAAAGTTTCACTGGATTCTCTCTATTGGGTTTGCTTAGTAAAACTTTTTCCTTTTATATTTTGATTCGGAGGTTTTATATGTAATGATCGTCACACAGGAAATTAGCCAAAAGCAAAAATAACCCAACAACCCTAAGCATATAACATGTGCAGCAGCTATAACACCCACAGTAGTGGTGGTGGTGGTCGTGGCAGTGACAGTGGTGGCTATGGTGTTGATAGTACATGTTCAAAGAAGGTAAAGAAACAAAAAGTCCCTAAGAGAGGGCCAGGAGTGGCAGAACTAGAGAAGATCTTGAGAGATCAAGAGAAGAAAGATACTAATTTGGACAAAACCAAGAATATTGAAGGGTTCTCTGTAGTTTCCCAAGTTTCAAGTTCTTATCAAAGACAATCTCCTATTCTTCCTTCCCAAAAATCTCAACCTAAAAATCTCTCATCCACTCCTGATCCTAATCCTTTTAGTACTCCACCATCGACAACATTTTGTGGTAATTGCAGTAACAACACATCATTACAAGTTTGCAGAGGCGGCAATGGTGGATCAGGCATTGTTTTGCATGAACATGGCTTTTTACCCACAATGTGGAAGTCTTGCCAGCCTAATGTTGATATTGGAGGTCCTAGATTGGCTTCAGGGATTCCATTTTCTGTACGTTCAACAAATGGTCTTAGTCAACTATTTCCTTCCTCTTCTTGGACACAAAGGAGCCAATATTCACCCACTCAAACGGTGAGAGAGAAAATTTGTTTGTTTGTTTTTATTTTTGAATTATATATCGTTTTAATTTGTCTTTTAATGTTTATAAATTGCTGCAGCTAAATTTTTTTCCAGAGTCTGTGGAACCTCCTCCTTCTTCAACAACCCCATCATCCGTTGTAATGTATCAAGGCATAGAGCCCCCTTCGAACCAAACATCAGACCATCATTACCATTCTGTATGGCCAGAGGAAGATAAGGCAAGTTTTAAATTTGTTCTTATTATTACTCATTTTAGCCCCTCGTTTTGCTCCCTCAATTTATATTTCTTTCATCGTTTGTTTGTTGTTTGCAGATGGTCATAAAATTTTTTGTATGGTTCTTTTCTTTATTTAGCTCATTTGTTCCATAGAAGAAAATAAATGAATTTTTAGTCCGGATCTTTTGGTAGTTGAGTATCCAAAATATAAAAAATAAAAATAATTAGTGCTGCAATTAGTTAAGCCTAAATCTTTCAGTAATAAATTGATTGTGTGTTTTGGCATCCTCTCGTGACAATTAAAAAAACGAAAAGAAAAGAAAATAACAAGCATCATTATATTTTTCATCCCACTGATTATAAAGTTTGAGATATTTTGCATCATTTTTATTTACGTGTACTTTTTTAGAATTTTTTTTTATATTTATTTAAATCACCAAATTTCTCATTATATTAGTATCAAATCAAAGAAATTTAATGCACTACGTCTGTACTAATTAACCTTTGTTTTTTGTATTTTTGCTTTCATTGTGTCATGAAATCCCGCATTTGAAAGTAACTGATACCTCCTAGTAAATTTAAGTTTATTTTTTCATAAATTCCATTTATCTTTTTTGCACTTTCCCTTTAATTAATTACTAATTTGACTGCCAAATTAAGTGATGTATAGATGGTTGGCCCAAAGCGATCATTCCCATTTTCCATGGAGACTCCTCCAATTACTCACCACTATAGAGTTCCTGCTTTTTCACCTCAATTCAGCAGACAAGACTTGTCATTCTCACGTGGTAGTCACAACACAACTAATTTTGAACAAATTGACGCAGTTTCCAGGTTAATTAGCCTCGCTAGTCTAATATTCCACGATCATATTAGCTCGTCCAAGCCATGCATTTTGGTAATATTTCCTTGTCATGTTTATGTCAGAGATGAGAAAATAGGAAGTAAGCGCAATACAGATTATGGAGTAGCTAAAGGCAATTTCCTCTTATTTGGCTCTCCAACGATTCCTTCTCCATCATCTCATTTATCTCAACAAGAACAGTCCAACTCGAAACATCCTTTACCTTTCCAAGTAAGAAATAAATTTCTGAAACATCAATGGATTTTCTTATCTTTTCAAGTGCATGATACAAAATATATATGTAATAGCTAATTAATACCTAGTGGCAATTTGCTCGTATTAATTATGATTTGAAGGAAAGCATCGAGGACTCACCACATAGGCCAGGACGAGGGAGTGAATCAATTTGTAATAAACCTTCGTTTAGCTTCCTATTTCCAGTGGAGCAAAAGAGCAAGGAGGAAATCAACTTTAGCTTAAACAATGATGGTATTGATCTGGACTTGAGGCTCTAAGTGGGAAGTCCATCAGAGATTGCAATTCTTGAAAGGGGCATTTCAGACGTTATTGTTTGTGGATTGTTTTTGGCATGATACATATGTGAGAAATTGAGCTAGAGGATTCTACTGGCTTTGGAAGTATGGAAGACGAGAGTTGTTCCATTTCTTGGTGGTTTTCGTTGAAGTTCGACCTTCTTTAATTTGTGATAGTAATGAAGAACTGGAAGACAAAAATGCAACAAATTTCCCTTCATTTATATCCATGATGCCAAATTATCTCTTATTCATTCTACATCAATTGAACCAAATCACAGTACGTACACATGAAGATCAAATCAAGCATTATTTATACATATACATACATATATATAGATAGAAAATGTTTTATATGTTTTTGAAATTTAGTATGCATAGATCAAATGAAGTATCAAAATTATGCATTGGGATTACTTCTTCTTAACTTTTTATATTCAACAAACTCTAGCAACAACGTGAATATAGTGAGGGTTCGAAAGGGCGACCTTGACAATAAACATAATTTTTTAATAATTAATGAGTACGAGAGAATCCTTAAAAGAAAATAATTTTTTAATGATCATAAGTAGAGAACATTGAGAAAGATTTTACTCTTAAAAGTTAGAACAAAGTATTGGATTGAGATCCTTTAGTATTCCGAGAACATAATCTATTATGTTTACTAAATTCTAATCTTAGAATTTAAATCAATGACTAATTAAGATTTAATTGCACAATTTAACTTTCTAAAAACAAATTAAGCTTGAATTATAATGGAAACAAATATTTAGGAGCATACTCTCAGCTCTATCTTTTAAAGGGTTACACCAAATATTTACAAAAAATTAAAAAATAAAAAAATCCTAAGGCTATAAGCAATGAAATCCAGCTCTATCAACTATTTTCTTAGATCACTTACAATGAATTTCATGAGAGTGATCTCTATTATTGTGGTCTTGACTTTTTATAAGATTTATTTTTTCCATGTAAAAACATGATAGATTCTTTGTTATTCTATAGATGATAAAATCATTTAATTTTAAAATTCTCTAAAATTTAGGCTGTTAAATTTTATAATATATATAATAAAAAAGGGTTTATTGGTCCATCTAATATCATATATACTTTCATATGCCTTTTTATGATTTTTATAACTGGGAATATATTCATATTTTCTCTGATGCGCCACTTTACCCTTTTTTTTGTAACCAAAATGCCCCTACAAACAATAAAAGAAACATTAATTTCAAAAACATAAAAAATGAAAAGAAAACCCTTTGATAAATTTTTTTTTAAAAAATCTAGGAAACATAATTTTTTTATAAAAAAAACATGGAAAACATAAAGACAAAACTCTAAAAACCTAGAAAAAAATTAAATGAACTTGTAAAATCTAAACAATGAAAAAACCATGTCCATAAATCTTGTAAAAATAAATTTATTTTTATTTTTCAACCTTTTTAAAATATTTTTAATGGGAATTTTCAATTTTACTGGCTTGTTCCAAGCTTTATGTTTTTTTCATATCTTTCAAGTGTTTCAATATTTTATTAAATTTTTGAAAATTAATTTTAATTTTTTCTTGTTTTGAAAATTGATTTTTCATACTAAGAATCATTTTTGTCCAAAAAATGACAAAAGTTATAAAATATAGATGTACAAGGACATATAGAGTGAAAAATTCTTAAAAGTGCATATGAAAGTATACATGTATTATCTAAGAATAGATGAATAAATTATTTCATAAATAAAATTCGAGTTGCTTTAAGTATATACATACATACATACATTTGTTTACACACACACATATATGTATGTGTGTGTAAACAAATGTATATATATCCTTTTGAATTACACTCAGCTATAATAATGATAAGTATACAAGTTATATAATAATAATAATAACAATAATAATAATAACTATAGAAGGTTAGTTTTACTTTAAAATGAAAAACTAAAAAGAGAAGAAAATCATCTTGGCCATTCATTTGAATTTAAAGGCTAAAATGTGACAAACATAATCAATTATGTTTTTAAAAATATGAAATTAAGGATCCTAATTCCTAATTTAAATGGAAAAAGAGTTGCAAAAATATTGCATGATAAAATAGTCGGGATTAGGTAGATTGAGATAAATCGTTAAGACATTATTTATTTATAGTGATTATTAGTATTTAAATATTATAATAATCAGAAAATACGATAGATCCAATGAAATTATAGCTATAGTTATATGGTAAGTAATTGAATCACGTATCATTATAAATCGAATAAGATATACGAGTTTTTGTTTGTTGAATTCTGAATTAATGAATGAACTTACTTTTTTATAAGTAAAAAAATATGTTATTAACTGTTTTGAAATATCATAATAACTTAATTCATAAATTGAAATTCATTTACACTAATAAAATATTATGATTATTAAAATTTTAAAATTCAATTTGTCTATTATATGGTATTTAACTATCCGTAAGTGTCTTAAAGACGAGTTTTCTTTCATAATAAAGTATTTTTAAATCTTATTTTTTGTAATAGGATAGTTTTAAACTTATTTTCCATAATAAGATCCTTTATGTCAAAAACGATCCATTTCATTTTAATACATTTACATGTCGACTTTAATTTCTTTTTGCTAAAAAAATAATGTTATGATCATAAATTACTCTCTCCTCTTACTATCTTCTCTCCGTATCAACTCATATTCTTATGCTTCATATGCCTTCAATAGCTACCGTAAGAAGAACCCACCTCCTACAAGTTGCGTTTTTGGCCAAACAACACGACTTACCGATACTAATCCAACTTATATTTGCACTATATCTTTGTGACAAAATTCAATTCTCTCTCTCTCTCTCTCTCTCGGTTTCGATCTCTCTTAGTTTTTCAATCTATCACTTGGTTTTTATCAATCCTTGGTTTAGATTCAAGTTTAAAGAACTATACATTAGGTAGATTGGATGAAATTTTGTTAGGGAAAAAGTTCTATCTTCTTTCTTAGTTTTTATTTTTTATTTTTTTGTTTTCATCTTAGGTATGTATTTTTTTTTCAATTTCTCTCATAGGTCAAGTTATTGTATGTAATTTTCTTTTAATTTCTCTCCTTAGGTCCGGGCATTGGTCAATATCATTTCAATTAATAATATTGTGTTTATTGTGAAGGATTTTTGTTGAATCGAGACTTTATCAAACCTCTTAGCAATACAGGTATAATCCCTTTCTCTTTTTTATGATAGAATAGAATATCCTACCGTAGCCATAAATTTTCTTAATTTGAAATAGTATACTTAATTTCCTTTTGTGACTTCTCTACTTTGCTATCGCTCCCCATCTATCTCTCGGTGGGAGTAGACAAAGGTTCGTAACTTTTTATGTATGGTTGTGTGTTTTTGCGATGGCAAAGATTAGGGTTTTTGCGGTTTGGTTATTTAGTTTATGTGATCGGGGGTTTTTTCTCTTTTACATTTTAAAATCATTTATCACTTGGAATTGGAGTTGGGTTTTTGCGGTTTGGTTATTTAGTTCATGTGATTAGGGCATCATCATCTTCTCTGGTCGTGAAAGAAAGGATGAGTGATCTTACCCAAAGCCTAGGAATGCCACCGGGAGTTGGGGAGGGGTTAAAGTGAAGGTGGATTCCTACCGATGTCCGACTTGCTCTTCAATTTTGTAATTGGACCGGTTAGAAGTGCTTTTTGTACCATGATTGGAAATTTATTATCATGTTTATGCAATAACAATTTAGATTCAAAAGTGAAAGTATTCTAAAATTTGGGAACATTGTTTTTATTACTTTCAATAATAATTATTTGTGAAACTAAATCAAGTAATTCAAATTCTATTTCATCCTCAAAAAATAAAAGAGGAAAAATATGACAGATTGGTTACTCTAGAATAGATATCTATGAATTTGCATCTAATTTGAACTATATTTTCAATATTCCAGGCCAAAAGATTGGAGAAACATAAAACCAATATGTTTGCTTCGAGTTTTTCGCTTAGGAATAATAATTTATGATTGGCTTGACATTTCTTGGCTAAAGGGTTATATAATTTTGGATCTGATCACTTTGACATGTCTTGGGAAAAAAATGGGCATTTTTAGTCTTATTGAGTACTTGTTAGGGAATGTAGGACCTTTTGCTAAGGAGATAGTTGAACAACTTGAATTGTCATTTAAAGATACAACTTATATTACCGAGTTAATTGGTAACTTGGTAATAAAGTGGTTCCTAGTTGGAAAACTCAATGTGGAAGCATCCCGAGTGCACCTAAAAGACATCCCGATTGCTTACAATCTATCGGAGATCAAGAGACCCCACAATCAATTAATTCAAAAAATTTTACAGAACATGATGTGACAACTTCCTCTTGTAGCAAGCCTTTGGGATCTTCTCATTGCAATCTTTAATCGAATTCTCATAATTCATGTTTAGATTTTAAGATGTTTGATGATGGATATCTACTATATATAAAAAAAAATCTAGAAATTTTGTGGGTTCCTGTATTGGTTCAAACTTTGGTATGAGCAATATGAGAGCTTGTCCCGCATCTGCTATCCAAAACCAAGCGGAAGAAGTTGGTGAGCTCAAGCTACGGCTTATGTAATTGATTTCACCGTAATAAGCATGTCCAAGAAGTCATGAGGATAATGGAGGAAGTAATAGAGGTATCCACAAAAAAGATGACTTCATATGATAATTAGATAGATAATTTTCTTTGTGGGTGGTGTTCGTCTTGTAGGTTTTCATCTTGTAATTAGAGCTTTGATTGATTTTATTTTCCAAATTTTACCATTCATTTAGTCGGCTATTGATTATTAAATTTAATTATAGATTTAATTGTGATTTTAATTAGTAAGAATTCTTATATAGAGAATTCGAAGAACTTGTTTGAATTCTTTCATTAATGATATTGAGTTAAATCAATTTCTCTATCTAAGGTGTTTTCTTTTCCTGCAAGTTTCTAAACTCCAAAGCAATTGACTAAGTAAAAGCTTCCTTTTTTTTTTTTTTTTTTTTTTTATCAATCTCTAGCCATCTCTTTCTCTTTTGGAAGTCTCTTTCGATCTTGGTTTGAATGATTCTAAATGTGGTGATGTTTCTCTTCCATTCTTTTAGTAGGTTTGGAGTAGCTATAAAACTCTGTCAATCCCTTGCTATGTTATTAATTGGATGGGTCAGCAAAGGTTATCATATCATTTTCCTCTACTTGGTATACTTTAATTAGATACAATAGAGAGCTAGACTAAGTCGCTTTATGGATTTTTGTTGACAATGGAACGCTTTTAGAAAAACTTATGACTAAATATTATTTCTAATCAATTCGCAAGGCGAAACTTGCATGATTTTCTCATGATGCCTTGTAGGTATCTTAGAATTTGATGAAGTTAAGGTCAAACAATTAAAAAACCAACTTATGTGGGCAACCTAAAGATAGAATTAACCGAGTCTCATTAAATGCAATCAACTAGGTAAAAGGACCACTCTCTAGAGTCTAGACCTTGGAAGTTACTAACGAGATGTCAACACCATTTATTTTTTCATTACACAATTTCCTAATGTCACATTTATTCACATAGTTAAAGAAGCAAATTAGGTGGCAAAGAATCTTGCCATATGTTATCTATTTTTGCACTATCTTCCTCTCTGCTCTATAACAACCAAAAGCTTAATGGTCGCTTTTATATCTTCACATTCCTTTAATGAAAGAAATTGTCCGATTTTTCAAAGAAGAAGAAGAAGAAAAAATCTTTGCTACGATTTCTAAAGTAATGTTTATACATGAAATTGATCTACTAAAGAATTTCTTATCTTTTCTTTGTTTTTTTTTTTTTGAATATTTAGTTACTACAATAGAGTTACAGCATCTAGAATCAATTGATTTTCATTGAAACAAGAAGGTTTTAAAGGGCCTCATATACTAGTATGCTACATAAATTAAAGACATATGAGTTTGTAGTCAATAACTTAATACATAACAATATCTCATCATAATTCTCATTCCATAGCTAAAAAAAACTTAATTACACGCAATTTTAGAGTAAACTGGCATGAAAGGATACTAAGTACCCCAAGAGTAAGTAAAATTGAAAATTCGATGCCCGTACACTGGTTGCTCATGGTTAATTTGACATCCATCATCGCTTATTGCCAAGATGGAAGAGTCAATTTCCTTAATAGTTTGGAATCCATCACATGCCAGTTTGATATTGACTTGAGTACTACATATACAATCATTTAAGATAATTACTTTCCATTGCGGTTTGTTTTGCACTAGCACTTTTGTTTGAGACTATAAAATTTTAATGTCCGTTATTTGATGATAGTGACAATTCCCTACAATGAATAAAATTAGACATAATGTCATGTTTGAAAAACACACGATTATAAATAAATGAACTCGGAACTCAATTGGTCATTCTCCTCTCCAATATCATTTAAACCCATCCAAAAACAATAATAATAAAAAATAGATAGCCTTTTTTTTTTTTTTTGAAAAAGATAATGGGTGAGTTGTTAGCAAAATATTCTATCATCTCCCTCAACATATAATATAACAAATATTGATGAAAAGAATGTATTGATAATTCTAAGAAAATAAGTAGTGAGATTAACAATTTTGATGGTAAATTTAACAACACAAGTTATAAAATTCTTTTTAAAGTATAAACCCTCAAAATTAAGAATGTACAATATACAAATTAAATTTTTTTTTATCAAAATTAAATAAATAAAAACAAAAGAATATAGAAAAGTACCTTAGTTGATAATATACATATGCTAAAGAATTTTTCTAATAATTGTGATTTTGAATTGTAAGAATATTTGAACTTCAAGAAATTAGGGCAAAGACAACAAAAGAGAGATAGAGAGTGTAAGTTAAATTTTTTTCTTTTATGTTTCAATTTTTTTAAAATTATTATATTATATATATATTATAACACTTAATTAAAAAGATGACATGGATGCTTGTATGAAAAAAATATTCCTTTATATATATATATATATATATATATATATATATATATATAAGATTTAAAATACCTTATTTAAAAAAAAATATCATATTTGAAAAAAAAAAAAAAAAACTCTCTTAAAGACAACCTTAGCATATCATCCTCCATAATAAGATTGTGTCGGATGGATAAGCACCACCTCACCATGCATATATGTTCACAGAAAATCATTGTAGTTGAAAAGGAGCTAGACGGTTAGATAGACCAATGGACAAAAAATTACCTAAATAATACTTCGTCTTCGATAAAGCAATTAGTGTTTAATGAAAAGGTCATTAAAATGATTATCTGAGATGATTTGTCCACATTCACGTTGCACCCCCTTAAAGCACCAAAACAAAGAGGTCCTAGCTTTTTTGTTTTGTTTTGTTTTTTTTTTTTTTTTTTTGTAAAACTTGAAGAAGTTGGCTTAAGGGGTAAAAATGTTTGTTTTGTTTCTTGATTTTTGGATTTAAACTTTATTATATACAAAATTTTTTTTTATTAAATTCATCTGATTCAGGGTGTAGGAAAAAAAAAAAAAAATCAAAAGTGGCTTGAGAATTTTTTGAACTGAAGATGTAATTACCACTACTTATCCTATGAGCTCACATGTATTGAATTAAAATATAAAAAAAAAAGACAAAAGAGAAAATCACTTCAGATCCATAAAAAATTTTGCACATAGGTTTTTGTTTTATGAATAACTATTACTATTTATCTGATAAATGTATTTTGAGAGAGACCTATAAAAATTATAAGAATATTTTCACGTAAACTTATTTTTTAATTCACTATTTTCTTTTAATCGCTTTTAATTTTTTATTTTGTATCTATATATCTCATATGAATTACGTATTGACAATTTTTTCAAGTACCATAAAATTTCTCATAGAAGAAAAGTGAAGAAAATAATTTAATTGAGGAGAAATTATTAGATACTTGTAATGTATTGGTCCATCACTTATAAAAATATGAGATATATCAGGATAATTATCCATAGATGCTATTTTTACGTAAGTTAAAGAACTCTATGTTGAAAGCACCTAATAATCTTTCCAATTTCATGATAACTTAATATACGTTTAGGATAAATCTATTTACAAGTTTAATTCTATAATATAAAAGTTCAAAAAGTTCCTATCATATTATTAGAAAATCAAATAATTCATTTTTTTTTATTTCTCATCGAAAAAATTATATATGATTCAATTAGTTTCTATATGTTAATGAATGACTCAATCCATAAATTTATGGCATTAGATGAGATTCCAAAAAATAATTTTATATTATAATATTTTAGTATTCCTTCGTATAAAAATATTTTTGACTTGATATTTATACAAATTTGTGATATTTTGGATGAAAATTTTAGTGTAGTTAAAAGAAAGAGGTATTAAAATTGAAAGGTGTCACTATTTGGATCAAGAGACTCTAGTATGATATAAACTCATAATTTGACAATGAAAAGTCTACTTTTAGGACTGTCACAAAAGAGGAAATGCAAGGATTCTGTAGCATCAGTTACTGTTGCAATCATGCCTAGGAATCATGTAGAAATCTTTTTTTTTTTTTTTTAGAATATTACAACTTGTTATCATTATTTGTTAATTAGTTTCAAAGCCATGAAGCAACTTGTTGGTCTGGTCATGAAGAGATTTGCTTCATTTTTTCACTTTTCAAGCTCAAATCTTAAGATTAATATTTAAGAGAATTTATTAATTTTTTTAATATACAAAATTGATGTGGAAAATGCACTCTTAAGATTGCATAAAAATACCTGATCTCAATTAGCGTTAAACTGGTTTAAAGATATTCTTATTTTTTTAATATATATATATTTTAAGAAAACAAATGGCATTTTAAGGTCTACGTTAATCAATAACCCTTTAAACATTTTTGAAACATTTATTCCCAATTTTTGTTACCATACCACACGCAAATGTATGTAAGTATATAAGTATTTAAAGACAAATATCCACTCTTAATTTGTACAGTTGACATCCATGTTATTCAAGTTGAAAAAAAAGACACATATAAACCAGAAAATGGAAGGAATAGCTAGACAATGGATTGAATATGACATGTCTTTTCTTTGAGATAATCACTATTTTTACCCTTGTATTTGTAGGTAAAAGGCAATTTCATCCCTTTGTTTCTTTATGATCAAAATGTCCCATAATTGAGGAAATGCGAGCCAAATCAAGCCTGGTGATAACGGCTGTCAGTCTTCGTCAATTTTATGTTTAACTCAAATAAATTTCACTCCTTGTGTTTGTAGCAAAAATCAATTCCCTTTTCCTATGATGTATAAAATTAACAAAAATTGTAACCAACTATCAGTTGTTCCGATTGCTTTGTTTTGTCTTTTGATTTTTGTTTTTTCGTTTGTTAGGATGGGTACAGATAAAAACAAAATTTAAGACAAAAATAATGATTTATTGCTATAAATATATCACTACAAATATATGAGACTTTTCCGTTAAAAAATTTAAATGATGGAGTGGCCACCTAATACTTTAAAACTTAAAATAATACTGATTACAAAAAAATAGATATGTGAGACTTTTCAATTAAAAAAATTGAATGATGGAGTTGCTGTTTAGTATTTTAAGGAGACTAAAAAATCTATAATGACAATTGTTATAGAAAAATAGGTAAGGAATTGATTACACTTAAGGAAATATAATAATCACGCAAAAACATTCCTTCCTTACAAAAGTCATCAAACTTGTTCTTATTCCTAATTCATTTTCTAAAAACTATTATCGGTCTAGATTATTTTCTAAACCTATTTATTTGTTTATTACTTAGTTTCGATCAATATGAATTTGAAATTAATGTGCAGAAGTAATTCTTCACATTTTTTTGAACATGCTAAATTAATTAAAATTTATTGTCACATCTCATTAAATTATCGTCAAGCCCTAAAATTAGAAGTCTCATCAATTTAACGTGGATCCTATTAAAATCCTTGTATAAATTTATATTAGAAAAATCATGACAATTAAGACGCATTAAGATAATTAAAGTTTATTACGGAATCTCATTAAATTATTATCGAGCTCTAAGATTAGAAGTTTCGTTAATTTAATGCCGAGTTTGGTTAAAGTTCTAACATGAATTCCATGCCAAGAATTTCATGACAAACCAAGATGTAGTAAATGCAGAAGGTGCTAATGGTAAAAAATGTGATTCTTTAGGGAAAAAAATAACGAAAATCACTATAAAAAGATCACAAGTGTAGAATAAAATAAAGAAAATTAAAATAAATACCAACTGATATTATAAAAATATGAAATCTGAAACATAGGTTAAAGATGCATATATTTAGCACATATTAAAAAATTAGAAAAAAATCACATCAAAACCTATCCAACTTGTGAACAAATAGAAACATATTAAAAAACATATGTAGCTCAAGTTAAAGAAAATAAAAAAAAATACCAAACAATATTAGAAAATTATGAAATTTGAAACTTAATTTAAAAGCACACACTACAAGAAATCTGCCATTTAGTAATGGAAAGTAGCGACGGATAATATTCTGTCTCTATTTTCCGACGACTTTGTGATCGAATAGCGACTAAATCAATTTGATGCGGATTTGAGATGAAATAGCGTTGAATTTTTAATATCGAATTAACTTCGATCGCTAATTTGAAACCAAATGCAATTAATGAAGAAATTTCGATGGTTTAGAAATGAAAATTAATGATTGAATTTAAATTTCATTGCTAAAACACAATTTCATTAACCTTGAATTTGTTGAGAAATTAGCACGATGGAATTGGCGACAGATTTGTTGTTCCATCGCTACTCATCGATGGATTAGTGATGGCTTATTCATGCTTGCTAATGTGTCACATTACCCATTTTACGAATTGATGTCTAAAATAAAATGAGAGTAGTAGGGATAGAAAATAAAATCCATCGCTAAATAGACACGAAATAGCGATAGACTAATGGTTTTTGTCAATAAATTACAAAGTTGACCTCCGATTAGCGATGGATACTTTCTTCGATCACTATATTGCGAGGGATTACCAATGAAATCACTTCCGTTGCTAAATTTTAATCCCTAAATCGAGCAAAACCTCTATTCTTCCCCATTCTTCTTTTCTCCCTTTCCCTCTCCTCCTCCTTTTCCTCCTCCTTTGTAGCCGAGGAATGCCCGGACCTAATTACACCAACCAAGACGATGCAAGTTCCTATCCAGCCTCCTTAATTCAACAGATCACGAAGCTTTTCTCTCCCGAAGAATCAAGTGTTTCTCCCATCAAATCCGTTGGCTTTCCTCCCCCATTGTTAGTTCTCTCTCTACTTTTTTTTTCAAGTGCATTCCTATGTATATTAATTATTAGCTTAGTTTTGATTAATTAGTTAAATTGTTGTTTTTTTTATTTTAATTACTTTTAAGTTAATTAAAATAATTAATCCAAATTATTAGTGTTAATCTACCTAGTTAGGTTATTTTTCAATTAGGTTTAATATAAATTTGTTCCGAGTTGATTAATTAAGTTAATTTAATTATGGAAAATTTTTTTAAGTTAAATCGAATATAAATTTGGGTTAATTAGGATAAATATAGGGTTAATTATGATTAATATCAATTAGTCGTTAATTGATTAATTAGATTTATTTAAATTAGGTTTATAATAATTATGTTAATTTTAAGAATTTTTATGTTAATTAAAATAATTAATCCTCATAAATTAATATTAATATAGTTACATTATTTAAATTAGGTTTAATATAAATTAGTTATGAATTGATTAATTAGGGTAATTTAATTAGGGTGATTTTTTAAAATTAAATTGAATTTAAATATTGGCTTAATTAGGGTTAAATTTGCGTTAATTATGTGAAATATAGGGTTGATTATGATTAAATTCAATTATTTGTTAGTTGATTAATTAGGTTTATTTAAATGAGGATTTTAATAATTATGCTAATTTTTAGGATTTTTATGTGGATTAAAATAATTAATCCTCATTAATTAGTGTTTATATAGTTAGGTTATTTTCTATTAGGTTTAATCTAAATTAGTTATGAGTTGATTAATTACGGTGAATTTTTATAAGTTGGATTGGATTTTAATTTGGGTTAATTAGGATTAAATTAAGGTTAACTTGGTTAAATTTAGTATTAAAAGAATTTAGATAAAATATTAAATTATATTAAAGATAACAAAAATATATATATATATATATAT